TGGAAATATTATGTTTGTTACTCGATGCATTTAATAATAGCAAAATAAAATTCGTAGTACCCAAATACCACCTGTCAAAATCAGCAGAGGCCAATTATTTATGAGGGCCCCGGAAAGATTAGAGAATCTAATTCAATCATAGATACCCTTATTCACTGATAAATTATCACAAAGATTCCAGCCTCATGAAGTGTCGGTTAAAGGTGTCAAGAAAGTTGTAACACTCCCCAAATTGTGTGGAGCTAAGACTAAGAGGGACCCCTCAAGTAGTTTAGTCTCTATGCAATAGATTTTTGAAAGCACCTCTTCACCTACTTCAGAATTTTTCCAAAGCCCATGAAAAAAATGAAGGAAAGTGAAAGAGGTAAAAAGTGAAGTGAAAGAAAATATATTTTCATGTATATATTTGTTTAGCACGAAAATTTTTAAGAAAATTTTAAAACAATCTCATTCTATTGTTTGAAAAAAAAGAAAGTTATAAGAAATTTTTTTCTAATTGTCTAAATTATCTTTAAGTATTTTAACTCGATCTAAAGAAGAAAAATATATTTTTTATTATTCAAATTTTAAAAAAATTGGCTCCTAACCTAATTCAGGAACAAAGATCGACTTGAACCTTAATCTCTAGACCAAATTATATGATTAGTCTAATTTGTATACATTTTTTTAAAATTAATAACTAATTGAATATTTAAAGAAAAATAAGGGTAAAATAGGAAGTTAAGTTATTGAATATAACTTTTTTGCTTTTTTTTTTGTGTGTTTTGCAAGAAAAAAAGATTAGTTAGATATGAGAAAATCTAAATATGAGAGAAAATTATTTTTTTCTATCATTTTCTATTTCATGTTAAACAAACAGATGTAAAATTTTAAAATTTTCTCTTTTTTGTATTTTCTAACATTTTCTTGCTAAACAAACGGACCCTAAGATTTTAAGGGTCCTACAGTCAGAAATTAGGATTGAGCATGAGGTGGGCTGGGCTATGCTCGGCCATGACCATGCCTAATTCTTGTCACATTATTTTTATTCATAAGTATTTTATAATAGAATATATTTTAATTTGTGTATTTATACAATTTCTATAATATAAAACATAACGTACTTCAATAAATTCGTTCGACAGTCTCAAATAGACTCATTCGATGACCATCAACATCCATCTCGAAACCATTTATATTGCACTGTATTTTCAGACACGAGTTACCCCTATTTTATTTATATATGAGGATGGATCTTAATGTATCGATATGATTATTGTCAACTGGCTTTAGGAGCACTGTTGAAAGGAATGTTGTTCAATTAGTGAGTAAATATTTAGTATAACGGTTACATTACGTTACTATTGTCACGTGGTAGAACTTACAAATGATCATGGTGAACCCCAACTTTTTTACATTTTTTTTTTGATCAAAATAAGTATAAAGTAAAATGGAAAAGGAACATTGTTGTCGAGGATCGAACCTGGGTCACCCGCGTGACAAGCAGGAATACTCACCACTATACTACAACAACTTGTTTTTCAACTTTTTTACATAGGGTAATTATTTTCTTACATGCATAAGATAGTTACTAAATTAAGTGAGATCCACTTATTTACATGTTGGTTGTTTATTGGATGTAGACACTATGTAACAATGGTGACGAATTAAGTATCTTCAAACTTTGGTTAAATTTTAAAAAATTTCGACCATGACTTTTACATATATATAACAAATAAATTAAAATGGAGAAGTCTTTGAAAAGTCTTTCCTCCACATTTATTAGATTTTTTAAAATTTAAAATTTTCAATTCAAAACCTAAAGTTCACTCCAATGAAAAGATATCTTGTGTCATTTGTAACCCATCTCAACTCCTTCAACAACTAACTCTTCTTTTTTAAAATTTATTCAAAAAAAAAATTTATCACCTAATTTTTTTTATAATTGTTTTATCCAACTTCTCAAATGATAAAATAAAAGAAAAATGATAAATTAAATAATAAAAAAGAAATACAAATTATACTCTCGTGTATCGCACGGGACAACCCACAAATTTATCAATTACAATAAGTTTATTTATTATGGACACATATATGAATTCCAAAGAAGCACTTGTGTAGAGGAACACACATGGGTAGACATTAGGCCCAAAAAAACCCCAAGAATAGAAGAGTGGCTCAATGCATGAGGTGTATGTTACAGTAAAGTCTAAAGATAATCAGATATATATATAATCTTATTCTTATAAATAAAGATATTGTTTTTGAGATTCGAATCTTTGACTTTCAAGTAATAATTGAGCAATCCCCTCAAAAAAAAAAAAGTGGAAGGCTAAAATTTAAATTTGAGAGGATCAAGATCCATCCTAATTGACAATACCTCTTACAGCACCTCTGAATATTTTAAGATAAATTATATTTACACCCCTTGAATTTTGCCATTAAAACACACTCCACAAGTATGACATATTACACTGACACCCCTATCAGTCACAATCAACTAATACACTTAACAGAAGTATTAAGAGAACTATTTTTCCCTCATTTAAAATAAGTAAACCAACCTAAGCCAAACCCATATATCATACAGAGCTCAACCCGAACCAAATACTTCTCCATCACTTCCACAATGCCTTTAATGTACATAACATCTATTCTCTCTTTCTCCACTGTCCACCATGACCCCCGTCACCCATAGCTCCTTACTTCTCATACTGGTCACCATTCTCCGCCACACCTAAGCCTACAACTTACACCCATAAGTCTTCCTATTGTCCTCATCATTCTCTCTCTCTCTCTCTCTCTCTCTCTCTCTCTCTCTCTCTCTTTCTTTTTGTGTGTGTGTGTTTTATCGCTAACTGTTGTTGCACCACCATGGGCACCATCAAACACACCATTACACCATTAAATCCATATCCTCGAATAGCAATGGCTACAACCAGACCATCACATGCACAACTAGGCCAATCAAAGCCCAATTTGTGTGCATTCCATGGCGGTAATGACAAAATTTTAGCACGGAAAGAGAGAGACAAAGGAAACGTGAAAGTGGGTTTGTTTTTCCCATTTCTATGTCACTCTTTTTTATCTAAGGGAATAAGGTTTGGGTCTTTCTCCCTCTACAATATGTTGTGTAATTTCTATGGGCATTTGATTTTTTTTTTCAACACGAAATCCACTCAATCTAAATTACAAGCACCTTTAGTTGCCGATCCAGAGTAAGTAGTGTCCTCCTTGAATTTCTTGATTAGCCCCTTAACAGTAAGGCATCACTCGATGCAATTGTCATATTCAATAGTCTTGTTCCTTCCACCAGTTTTATTGAACTTAGAGACTAGCAACTCCAAAACTGGAGACGAAACTACAAACCCTAGGTTTAGGATGACGTCTCTCAATTTGGAGGTATCAATTTTGTCACTCCTCTCTCTGTTAAATCTCTCAAATATGGCCCTCCAGTTCTATAAACTGTAAAGAATTGAAATGAATTTCATACGGCGCCAATAGAGGACGATACCCAAAAGCTGAAGACGATTGTGGTGGAACTAGAACACCGTATGCAATGGAAGTTTTGTTTTCCTTTTGAAAATTATTCGGATTGCCACCGTATGGGACTGAGGGGAAGACATATGGGGTGGGGCTAGGGCATAGGGTGATTGGCCTAGGCGGTGGTGGGGTGGCATATGGTTGATGTGAGAAAGAGAGAAAAGAGAGAAGAACAAGGTATATAATTAAGTGGGTTAGTTTTAATTAATTCTATTAGGGTATTTTGGGAATTAAATTCTTAAAATAAGTTGACGTAATCAAAATTCGACAGTCCTTCAAACAACTTTTTATGGTAGGATCTATGTATTATATGCGTATAAATTTTGAGGGTGGTTAGTGTAATATGTCATATTTGAGGGGATTTATTTGTACTACTGTCAAAGTTCAAAGAATTTGAATTTAATTTATCCGGGTGAATTTGGTTCACTGGCTGCCGGTTCGGGGAGTTGGTTCGTCAATAAAATAAAATTTGTATTGGGAACTTTATTTTTAAATATTACCCTATTAACTCCTTAAAATGAGGAGAAAGTTTGAGAAATTGTCGTTGACCTTAATCTTTGATAATTCATAAGTTTTAACTTAAGAATATGTTCTATCCCAATTCAAGTTGAATTCAAAAGAATAATCAGTATAAATTTGTATATTCAATTAAAAAAACATTCTTATTGTTAAATTTTAAAATCACTCTTTTGAATCTCGTCTTGTTCCCTCTAATAGTGCATTGAATCTAATCAAGAATCAATTCCTTGGTACGGTTTTGTCTCAACAAATATAGTCCAACAAAAAAGTCCAATGACTTGGTGGACCGTATTAACTCACCTATTCGAAGGAAAGATAAATTAGATATTATGATAATAAAAAATTTAACGCCTCTGGTCTAATTACTTTTTTTATATGAAAAATAAGAAAAAAATAAAAATTAAGAATATTATTTTATCCCCCAAAAAAATCCCAAAATTACAAAATCTCTACTCTTCTACTTCGAATCCGAAACTACTAAATTTCAATTAACATTACTCATAATTCAATAAAAAATTCATCTACTTAACTTATAATTTTATTCAACAGTTCCTTAAAAAAAGAAAAAAAGAAAAGGAACATATGAAATATGTATTAGCCGAGACAGATATGTGAATTATTTGCTAGTCAATTCTCAAATTCGAAAGCAAGATTAAGGTTAGTCTAATAGTCTCTGTCTCTACTGTCGAACATTAAGCTCTCACTGTAGAAAAAAATCGAATATAAATGAAGTGAAAAAGACTAAAACTCCCACCAACCCCATATAATTAAACTCTCTAACATGACGTGGGGCTGACTGATTACGTACAACCACTGGTAGTGGTGTCTACCATGTGTAGCTGCCAAGTAGAAAATGTTTTACTTTGGGCCCTCATCTAATGTGGTCCCGCACGCCTACACCATACAACCTCATAATCGCACACCCACCTACCCTTCCCTTCCCTTCAATTCATTCAATGGCCTCGCCCATAAACTGTCACTTGCTGTTTATATAAGCACACCGACCTATAGACAATGTGTTTATGCCCGTGTGTTGTATATGTGGGCATTGAGCCTTTTCGATTCTGATTTTCTCTCTCCTGCTAAAATCTCAGGTGATTTTCTAATTTTTCTCTTGCATTTTTCTGTCTTTTTTTTTTTCCTTTTGGGGAAGTGTCTTTCTGTTGTTTACATGTTCTTCAATGTCCATTTAGTTTTGGGGGTGAGACTAGAATACCCAAATGTGGGTTTTTATGATTAGATGTTGGTGAAATCGTTTCAGTTTTATGCATTTTTTGTGGGCCAGTGGAATCTGTTTGGTTTTGGGTTCTTAAGATTAGATGTTGTTGAAATCTTCTCTCTTTTTTATGGATACTTTTGTGGGTCAGTGAAATCTGTTTGGTTGAGGTGAAAATTGATGGAAAAAAATGGAAAAAAGAAGCGCATTTGTGCATTTTCTGATGTTGGGTTTGCAAGAAAGTGCAGAAGTTGATCATATCAAGGTAACTAATTATGAAAATGAAGGAAAAATAGAAGTGTTCAGAATTGCCTTTTCATTTTCCTTCAGTTTCCCAATAAACAAACAGAGCATGGCGACTTTAGAAGGAATTGAAATGGGAAATTTCTAAGAAGCCCAAATGATTGATTTGTTTTTGAACAAGTACAGATATTGATTTGGTTCATTCTTACAGGTCTGAGCATATAATCCGATTGTCTCTGTGGGCAAAATGACGGCTATTAAACTTGGTGGTGCACTGAATTTTGGAATAACTGGTACCAAATATGAAAGAAGAGGAATTGAGAAACCTTTTGTTGCGAAAACCTCAGCTCAAGTTCGTCATCACTCTTACAATGGCGGAATGAATGTAAGGAAACTGAGATTCAATAATGTGGTGAAGAATTGTGGGTTAACCAGTGGTGAACAAGCTCTGGATTATGAGTTGGATTCTTCAAATGTGGAGGAAAGGTTAGCTTCAACCCGAGAGAGGCTCATAGACGGTTCAAACGAAGGAATCATGTAAGATTCATGAGTCACCAACCCTCCATTTTTGCTCATACTTGTTATGAACTCTAATTTCATTTCCTTGAATATTTTAACTTGGCAACTCATAAGGTTTAAGTATACCTAATTCATGTCATGTTGATGTGTGTTACATCCAGATTTGGGTGAATCTATTTGAGTTATTTCTGGGGGTCTTTTCTGTTTTGCTTTTATTAGTATAATTTTCAAGAAGATTCTTATACGAAGTATAAAACTCATTCTTGCAACTTGCAACTTACTTTATGTTCTTATTTTCTAGTTATTAAACTTGTTAGTTTTTGTCTCAGTGCGTTGCAGGGGACTTCAAATGATCAATCACTGACGCAAAGTGTCCAAACTGAGCTTATAATGCTCTCTTTACCTGCTATTGCCGGACAAGCAATTGAACCCTTGGCACAACTTATGGAGACAGCCTATATTGGCAGATTGGGTAAACTTTATTTCCTTCCGTCTAGCTCTTTTGCTCCAAAGTTCAGATAACTGAGAAAATCCTTTCTTTAGTTCAACTGCAGAGTTACTTATATGATAAGTTGATTTATTAAGCTTATTGTGGCAAATGGGAGGGTGATATAATGCAATCACTTGGGGTTAATATAATTCCCCTGTTTTTTCTCTTTTAATTTCTCCATTCTGCATGATTGTATGCTTGAATTAGTTGTTTTTGTGAAAAATGAATATGAGCACCATTGATCTTCATTTGATCATATATTGTGGCTAGTTGACTTCCATATAGGACGAGCTTTTGTGTTTCAAAAGTTACTTAAATATCATGTTCCATTCTTTGTAGAATAGCAACGAAGCCATTCTATTCCAGTTGTTCACTTGGGTTTTCCAAAATGGATGTAGCAGTAAATTGTTGAAAACCCATAATCTTTACTTGAGCCAGGAGGTGTGATGTATATATGCCATTCTGAAATGATCTACTGATAAGTCCCTTTTTTGACATATTGAGTTTGTCTTACTGAATGGACTTAGAATTATTGTTATCTGCAGGAGGAACATTGCTTATAGAATGCATTTTATGCACATCTCTAACTATTGCAATGATTTATGTGGTTTGCAGTGAATTGAATTAATTATTTTCGTAGATTCCAGAACATTTTATTCGAAGACACTAAAATTGACATGCCTCTGTGGCTCAGACTATTAGGTTACTGCATCTGACGTTGCTATATGAACCTTCTTACGTTAATCCCTTGTTCTGATATTGTGTTTTTCCAAAAGTTATGTTGATTTCATTTTTGAAATATCTGCATACTGTATTGTACGCGAAATACTGTTGTTGCCAATCTTAATTATTTTCTCTCCATGAATGTTTTACGAGATAGCAATCAGAAGGGAGAAACACAGAGACTCATTGGTAAAATATATTTAGACATTCTATGGTTTTCCAAGACAAATATTTGAGGACTGCTTTCCTCAAGTTATTGAAAATGAGATTACAGACATGTGGACCTAAATGGCAGTTCATTTCCATGCTTTTCCATGTAGAAATGGATTTACAACTTTCGTAGGGAGCTAATCTGGTAGTTGAGAATCAGACAGTTATTTATTTGCAACTTTTCTGGGTATGCTTGTTTATGAGGTTTGTCAGAATTTAGACCTGGACCAATAACTAATATTCATATCGTATCCATTATCTTGTGTTGATTCTTGCTTTATTCTGACAGAGCATAGAGTATATTTACTCACACAGCCCATGTCTTGATGAGTTCTTCAATTGATTTTTATTGAAAGGTGCCTTGGAGCTGGCATCAGCTGGTATTTCCATATCGATTTTTAATATAATATCCAAGGTATTCAACATTCCTCTCCTTAGTGTTGCAACTTCCTTTGTGGCCGAAGACATCTCTAGGCATGCGAGCAAGGAATCTACTTCAGGTAATATTAGAATAGATGCTAAAAGGGCTTCTATCTTTTGAGCAGTCTTCATAAATATTAAAAAAAATTAGGAAAGCTATATGGTTTGCACTTCATTTAAGCTATGTTTTGAGGATTTCCACAGATTTAGAGAAGTTAACCTAAATTCTTTGATGAAACAGATGAAAGAAAGCTACTGCCCTCAGTCTCTACTGCCTTGGTGTTATCACTCGGAATTGGTATATTTGAGGCTGCAGCATTGTATTTTGGAGCTGGACTGTTTCTCAACATGATGGGTATATCAGCAGTGAGTGGTGTTTATTTAAAGCTATTATAAGAAAGCAACATATGCCCCATGATTTTACTTGAGTTTGGGTCCAATTACACATCAGAATGGTGTCACAAAACACAAATTACCTGCCTTCACCGGTTCGTATTTCAACTGCATCAGTTTCAGTTTACAGGGGAATAGCTATTTTTGTTCTGAACAGGCTTCACCCATGCGCATTCTGGCACAACAATTTCTTAAGCTTAGAGCATTTGGTGCCCCAGCTGTTGTACTCTCCCTGGCCATTCAAGGCATCTTGCGTGGATTCAAGGACACAAAGACCCCTGTATTATGTCTAGGCAAGTGTTTTGTAGACCACTCAAAATTTAAGGGAGAAAGCACTTTAAAGTTAATGTGGATATATCATCTTCAATAATCTTCGGCAGAAATCCTAACATGTTGCACTAAATGTTTGTTTTTATCTCTTAATTTTGTCCAAATATATTTTGATCTCCTTTCTTTTTTTCCAAATGTTTTTGAAGCAAAATTAAGAAGACTAAGAGAAACATTGCATAGTCACAATCCATACTTGATTGGTAGTTTGATTAGTTGTTACTAGGTAGACATGGTAATAGAATTATTTATAGCCCAGTTTTTTTGAGATTTATCAAGTTTAATCAGTTGATGCTGTACCTAGGACTGAAATTTTAATCTTTCAGAGAAAATGTCGATAGTGCTGAATTTGTTTTCTAGAACAGATATGAGATCATAATAGAGAATTATGAAGTCCAGAGTGTTCTTCCACAGAACGTGAGATCTGATATCGTCCTATACATTCCGTGGATTTATTATCTGCTGGTATTTCAAGGTGAAAAACAAGTAAATCTGGGCTTATACTCATTGCTTAGCTTACCAACAAAGAACCTTACCTATAAAACACTATCCATGCAAAAAGGATCTGTCTGTTATATAGTATTCTATATTTTATTTTTCTTTTGCTTGATTATTTATTTCCAATTCTTCCATTTTCATGCCTGAAGCTACATATTGCTGCCTTTGCTTTTCTTTTAACTTCCCTATCTGATATGGACTATGGGTGTGCAGGACTTGGCAATTTTGCAGCTGTATTCTTATTTCCCATACTTATGTATGTTTTTGGCCTTGGTGTAACTGGTGCAGCCATCTCCACTGTTGTATCTCAGTATGTTCTTTCACTTCGTCATCATCTTTTTCGACCTACAATTAATTAGTAACAACCTTATATTTTAATGTTGCAGGTACATAGTTACCTTTTTGATGATATGGTATCTTAATAAGAAGACTGTACTCTGGCAACCCAATTTGAAATGTTTACATTTTGGAGGCTACCTAAGATCGGGTGAGTATTTTGTACATTGAATTGCTACTTTTGATCTGTCCCCAGTATATATTAGATTATTCTGTAATATGTCAACATTATGGTAGGTCTCGGTTACTTTGGTTGCATATTTCTAGAATTTAGGAACTCTTCTACAAACTATGTTATGCTCCATGGAACTATTTTGCAGTGCTGTACCATTATTTCTATGACTTTTACCAAGAATTTTTTGATTGCCAAAATTCAACACTTGTAGGTTAAAAGCATTTCAAAGCTGAATACTGAGAACCAAAAACAAAAAGGAAAAAACTAGAAAAAGAAAAAGAAAATGTTTATTATGAATTTTATAGATGCAACACTAAGGGTTGAGTCAGATGGCAGTCATTTTTGCATATAAAGCCAGAGATCAGATTAACACCCCCCTCCCCCCCCCAAAAAAAAAAAACCCCTCTCGGAGATGTGTGACCTACACAGGGTAATGATCTGTTTAGTTTGACAAGTTTTTGGTTGTTTCCACTGATTATTTGTGAATCCACTTTTGTAGATGATCTTGCAAATGGCCACTTCGAATGAAAGTAAATAATAGGTTCTCATGTAAACAACAATAATAAAATGATTCGGTTTTTTCTGAAATATCATTCAGTGATAAAAAATGAGTCTTCAAACATCTGTTTTTTACAATTAAATACAACAAGTAGGCCTGGAGTGATGACAGCTTGACAGTTTTGAAAATAGCTAAGTGTAGATTTTGAATGGTTTTTAACTTTGCAGTCATTAGTTATCCATTTGCTTCCCAATAAAACTGAAATTGGAAGGTTATTCATTGAAATTTACAATTGAGGAAGCAGGAGCATTTGGAGCTGCCTGCTATGATAAACATATTTGAAGTTCTTGAATATGACTGTCATGCATCCTTAGATCACACTGTTAATGAGCCACAAAAAATACTAACAAATCTGATGTATTTTTTTTTCTTCTTCTGAATAAAATGGCAAGGATCTCGCTGATTGTGGCTGCTCTTGGTTTTCATTATATCTTGATCCAATTGGCTGTCTTATGAACTACTATTATGATGTTTTCATGCCAGTTCAAAATGGAAGTTGATGACAGATAACAGTCAAAACATCATATTTATATGATCATTTTTTTTCCTCATTCAAATCAAGAGTAAAATGGTCAATTAGCTCCCACATATCCCTATTTTGCTATACCTGCTTCTCTCTGTTATCAGCATTCATGCATGTAAAATATTTTGATATTGAAAAACCCTCGTGTGCACTCTATTTGTTTCCCGGAAGAAATGCATGTTTTTTCATCTCTTTTTGTTCAGGTGGTTTTCTTCTTGGAAGAACGCTTGCTGCTGTTATGACCGTAACTTTGAGCACATCAATGGCTGCTCGTCAAGGACCATTAGCCATGGCCGCCCATCAGATATGTTTGCAAGTATGGTTATCTGTATCTCTCCTTGCAGATGCCCAATCTGCATCTGGCCAGGTAAACACTTTTACCTCTTTTCTGCTCACTCACTTCTTGTCATTTTCAATGCCCTCCCTATAGGTATTCTTGAGTGCCCTATTGTTTGATGTCAAAGGACATGATAGTAATCTGAATGACAGTAAGGAAAATAATTTGGCAAATAAGCAGTTACTCATAGCTGTGTAATCACTTCAACTGAACTTATTCTTTAAATTAGCAATTTGCTCGTCTCCATATCTGTGAAAAAGGAGAGTTAAGTAAGCTCTTTACAATCGTATCATAAAAAGAACATATTTAGATCCTCCATGCCTACTGTACTACTTATTTAAAATCTCTGTTATTGACTTTAACTATAACACCATGTCTATTTAGTGGACTTTGAGCGAGATCTCGAATTTTTGATATTCATTCTTGAGATAAATCAAAGACTGCCCTGACAAGATATCAAGACAGCAGATTCTGTATGCTTATCGTTTTCAAGTCTTTTCTTCTACATAGAATGGTGAGACAGATTTGAAGCTAATCTTCCTCTTGTCTAAATCATGTTATATCAATTTGTAACCACTCAGATTTCTGATGTTTGTGGTGCAGTTCAATGTCATTATGTCAGCCTTTTCTTTTTTTCATTCTACGGCTTATCAAAAAGTGTTATTTTGTAGGCTCTTATTGCAAGTTCTTTCGCAAAACAGGACTACAGAAGAGTAAAAGAAATTACTTATTTTGCTTTAAAGGTGAATAAATCCTGCATATCACTACCATTTAGTTATTCTATTTAATTCATGTGGGAAAGAATCAACTGTTTAGCAAGTTTGTACTCTGCGTTTCTTTTCGTTCCTTTTTATTTTCTTTAATACATTGCCATTCATGCTTCTCCAGGCAGGATTGTTTACTGGCATTTTCTTAGCTGCAATATTGGGTGTGTCTTTTGGTTCTTTAGCTACGTGGTTCACCACTGACATGGAAGTGTTAGGTATTGTTAGATCCGGGATACTGGTATGTTTCCATCTCTGCATTGGCTTGGGATATTTTTTACTTTTCATCATTTCTTTCTGATTGGCTTCTATGTGTCTTCACAGTTTGTCAGTGCTAGCCAGCCTCTCAATGCTCTAGCTTATATTTTTGATGGTCTCCATTATGGTATTTCAGATTTTTCATATGCTGCTTACTCAATGGTAAGTGGGCACGTCAAAGAGATGTTACATTTTTTTAAGACTTGGGTCACTATACGGAGTTTTAATTATTTGTTACAACTAACATTTGGTTTATAGATGGTCGTGGGGGCAATGTCATCTGCATTTCTGCTATATGCTCCTTCAGTTGTTGGTCTTTGGGGAGTTTGGTCAGGTTTAACTCTTTTCATGGGCCTGCGTACTGTTGCTGGATATATGAGGTAAATTACAGGGAATTACTATGTGTTCTCATATGCCTTTCAGATACGTATCTGTTTTCATATTTTGAGATTTATCAATAAACGGGTGTTTTGCGCTGTTGTCAGATTATCATCAGAAAATGGTCCGTGGTGGTTTTTGCAGGACAGCAATAACGAAGGTTGGTTGATAGACACATCTGTTGAGCATGAATAATATATAGCTGATTTGCAAATAGATGTTTGAAACATCAAATCATTCATAATGTATCAATTCCATAACTCGGTTTATTAACTTTTTCATTTGTTTTGAACTACATAATATTGAAACACAAAACTCTGTCCTTATAGAAAACATAGGTGATAAGTCTACAGTTGAGCTTTTACCATCAAGACTGAGTCAGGTTTGGCAAAAATTCCTCTCATAGAAGAAGTTTTAAGTTCACAAAAGGATTATACAATTCAAACCTATGGGTAAGCCTCATAGTTCTAGGATCATAGAAGGTTTTTCAACTTACCTTTTAAAACTCATGGTATGTATTTGCTCGACAAAAGATGGAAGAAAATAAAAATAAAAATGAGGGCCAAAATGTGGTAGGATCTACATTCACACACCAACTAAGAAGAGAAGATCAACTGTCTACCCCCATTGGGAATTGTAATTCAAGTCGTGAGAATGCTTTGTCCCGTCCCGCCTTTCAGCAGCACACGTTTCTGCTAATGTACATGTGGGTGAAAAATGAGATGACCCTTTCTTGACGTATATCATGAGCACATCTTTCCCTCCACTCCAACCACGAGTTTTTTTCCATTACTCTTGTATATCGTTAATCACTTCACTGCTTATTTTTGCTGATATATAGTTATATGTCACTATTCTATTATTAAAGCTAAATTACTGTCGTATTCATATATAAAATGTTCAGTTTTCTGATTAATCTTATTTCCAGATTGCCATCGTACACAACATGCGACAACATTTTGATTGATCGACTTCACCTATGAGACAAAGGCAACTAAATTTCCCTTTTCAGTTCCTTTTTTTTTTCAATAAATATGGTTTATTTACGAGATGTAATTGTGTACAGGAATAAAATCGTATTCTCGGCATATATGTCCATTTTTCCCCCAAAAAATACACATTTCATTTGCTCTTACGGATTGGGATTTTAGTTATTCAACCTATCTGCAACGGCCATTAAATATCGGGAATGTCGAAAAGATCTGTGACATTGTCATGTGTATAAATTATAATGAATGGATTGCTGTAGTTTTGCCATTTCCTATCTATTATTGTTGGGTCTTTTTCTTGGCTTAGTCACTTAGAAAAAAACCTTTTGTCAATGTGTATATTCCCCCCCCCCCCCCCCCCCCCCCCCCACGACTCTGGGATTTGAGTAGCTTTGTTTGTTTTCTTCTTCTCTCGAGAGCCTTTAGATCGAAATAGAATGGCAAAAGTATTCAATGTATATATGGGTGAACTGTTGCGCCAGCAGATAAGAAGCCAAAAGCGTTGACAATCACAAGGTAGAAGCTTATAAAAATCCCTCCAGGCCGGTTAGCCACTAGATAATCATGATCGATCTTAATTGAGTGAAATTACAAAAAAAAAAAATTGATTTGATGTGAGATTATAACTTACAATCTTTTGAGATGAGTTTACAACCCTTTACGTTAAGAGTAATGGTAGACTGATTAAAATTTGAGATCAAATTTGAAGTTCAAATGATATGACAGTTGATTATTTGAAATATTTATTGGGGCTCAAATGACATGACATCAATCTAAGAAGTCCAAGTCAATTGTCACGTCATTTGAACTCTAAATTTGGGCCTAAAATTTAATCGGTCTAACATTACTGCTAAGTTAATGGTATCACATTTATATGCAATGTTATTATTTTTAATGAGTAATATTTAATGACTAAAATTGACAGGCACACATTTTTTGCGATAGACTCTCCCCTTAAATAGGCTCACTGAGTCACTAAGAACACCATCAATGGCCGACTCAAGCTCAAAATCATCGTCATCTCTCTCAACAAACCCTTCTTCCACCATTGTCAGAACCAGAACAAACTCATGGCCATTCACAATTTTGTTATCGTTGTTAGTCCCAGTTACAATTGCAGTGCTGGTCTACCAACTCGACTCCTTCGACCCGGCTCCTTTTCCAATCCACGACTTGACTCATCAGAAGCCTATGGTTGTGCCAAGGCGTAACCCTCGCATGCTCCATGGTTCAGAGGAGATTGGGGTTGGACAGTTGTTGGGTCCAGAAGATGTTGCTTATGACCCAAAGTCAGGGATGATATACACTGGTTGTGTTGATGGGTGGGTCAAGCGAGTCACGGTGAACCAGTCGGCGGCTGAGACAGTGGTGGAGAACTGGGTTAACACCGGTGGGAGACCTCTGGGAATCGTTCTTGGACACCATGATGAAGTTGTTATTGCTGATGCTGATAAGGTTAGTAGTAGTCTAGGTTGTGAATGGATTTAAGAGACTAAAAATGCTGATAACAAATTTAAAAGACTAAAAAAGTAGATTCGATAATCTCAACTATTGAATAAGTAATGAGTTCCAATAAATGTTGAGACCCACAATGAAATTAATGATCGTAATTATCAAGTTTAATTTTTAAATTTATTTTTTTAAATTCACGTAACATTATTCAATTCAAAATTCAAAATTCTAGTGTGAATGATCATATGTCATTAATTTAGTGGCACATGGAGCAGTACACACCTTACGCCATGTTTCAAAGGATCAGCATCTTTTGATCCAACACCGACCCACGTTAGGTGTAAATCATGAGACTTTTGTTAATTGGCTAAGGTGTTAATTGCATCATGCTTTCTAAACTATTAAATATATTTTTATGTGATTTCTTAAGCAAACAAAATTTAAATTGTTAACTATTTTATATCATAAACTTATCACGTGATATTTAAATATGGACAAAAAATAATTTAGGTAATGCATTTCAACTAATTTTTTCTAAGATTTGATCAAAAGCAGACTATTCATATCGAAATTGAAGTATTCTAAATAGTTGGATTAATTATAAATTGTACCCAAAAAAATTGTTTAAATATCAATTTATACCTTCAAAGATAAAAAATCTCAATTTATATCCTCAAATATAAAAATTTGTCTTAATGCGCACCTGAAACTAACAGTCAGTAGTTTGCCGTCTAAAACTAAATGGATACATGACACTTAGATTCTCCCATGTTTGTCACTTAATTATTTGAATCCCCTCACATTTAAAATATTATTCCTATACCTCTGACATTTGTGTATGTGTAATACATAATTCTTTATCGTGAATATCTATTAATATAACCGTTAAAAAATATGATTTTATTGTAATAAAAAATTATAATTTCATATTACCTTTTATTTTATTGTTTCATTATACTCTAAAGTCTAAAATCAAGCTTATCATTTGAATGTCCAATATAATATAGGTATTTATATAATATTCTTTATATTCAATATAATAAATCACTTAAATAAAATTATTTGAATGCCCAATTGAGGGAACATTTTTAGTCATATTTGGATTCTCAAGAAATTTAGGTGTAATATTTTAAATGTGAGGGGTCTAAGTGTAAATTATTCATTTAGTTTTAGACGGTAAACTGACAGTTGTTAGTTTGAGGTGCGCATTGATACAAATTTCTACCTTTAAAAGTACAAATTAAGATTTTTGATTTTTAAACGTATAAATTGAGATTCAAATAATGAATTTAAGATTAATCCTAAATAGTTTGAGGTTTCTTTGGCATGCAAGTAGTTTATTGGACAGAATTCTGTTCGGTTCATTAAGGGGATTGTGATCGTGATATGACTACGGGACTATAATCACTCATGGGTCGTAGGCTCACATGTCCATGTGTGGATTTCGATCCTTCCCATACTATAATTACTCATGTGTCATGGGTTCACATGCCCATGTGTGGATTTCCATCCTTCCCATACTATAATTACTCATGTGTCATAGGTTCACATGTCCATCTGATAGATTTGCACTTTCTTACCATTGTATGATAAACGATCTATATTCGCAATTAATTCAATATCGATTCATGTTTAGTGTAAAACATGAGTGTTTTATCATTATTAAATTAACTTGTTATTCGATATTGTATTTTGTATGTATTAATCCGATACTATTTTATCAAGCCATAAGTGACAATAGTATTAATTTGATTGTCTAAATGATAGAATCCAAGGACCCCGTGAGAAATTGATTCAATTGAAGGGAAACTCTCTTCCAACTTTTATTAAAATTCTTTCTTCCAAAAAATAATTTTCAGAATGATATAAATAGAATAGACGTCCTAACTAGATTTCTCGCCAATTACAATTCTTGGCTAAATAAACTTCTAATTTGACCCAATTATTCATAATTTTATCCACACAACTATTTTAGGATAAAAATCTCAAACCTAAAAAAGGAATAAAAATATTAAAAAATAATCATATGTATAGGTTTGTAGGCAGCCCATAGGTATGAGGTGCATAACATCCACCCCTCGTAATCTCGACTTGTCCTCAAAATGGAAAAGCTAGAAAACGAGCAATAAATTCTAAATAATCCTCCCAAGTTATATCAGTAGCAGAAAATCCAGTCCACTAGGCAAGAATACGTTTAACTAGCCTATTGTTGCGCCTAAACAAACCATGATACAAAATGTGAAGTGGCTGTCAAGTAGTAAAACCATTATTAGAATTGGGAGGGAGCTGTGGAGCTAGTTGCACCATGTCTCCAAGTTTCTTTTTGAGACAAGAAACATGAAAGACTAGATGGGTACGACATTCTATTGGTAAATCTAGTTTATAAGCAACTTCTCCGATAGATGAAAGAATATGAAACGGTCCATAAAATCGTGGTGAGAGATTATGTGGCCCGCGGGGGCCCATGGAAATTTGTCGATATGGCTGAAGTCGGAAAAAAAACTCAATCTCCTACACTAAAAGAGAGTTCGGTTTGATGACAATCCGCAAAATATTTCATGTGAGATTGGGGCAGCAGTTAAAATTTCCTTGAGTAGCCGCAGTATACTATCACGATCACGCAAGGTAACATCTACAGAATGAACAGCAGTAGTGTCGAGAAGGTATGAAGAAAAGTGCAATGGACGCCGACCATAAACTGCTTAAAAAGGCGTCATTTTCAATGAAGATTGAAAGGAAGTGTTATACCATCATTCAGCCCATGGTAACCACTTTGTCCAAATGGAAGGTTGTTGGCTTGCAAAGCAACGCAAAAAGTCTCAAGGAACCGATTAACCACTTCAGTTTGCCCATCTAATTGGGGATGGTAAGCCAAACTTCGACAAAGACTAGTGTCCTGCAATTCAAAAAAAACTTCCAAAATCTGACTTGTGAAAACAGGGTCTCGATCACTAACAATGGATTTAGGCATTCCATGTAAACGTGCAATATCTCGAACAAATATTTCAACCACCGTAGTTGCTGAATAAGGATGCGCAAGTGCACAGAAGTGGGCATATTTGGATAGTCGATCAACTACAACCATAATAGAAGATTTGTGATATGAAGGAGGTAACCCATCAATGAAATCCATAAAAATATCAGTCCACACTTCCTCCGGAATTGGTAGAGGTTGTAGCAACCTAGGTGGAGAGATATTTTCAGATTTATTCCATTGACAAACATTGCACTTGGCAATAAACTTCTTAACAGCCCTTTGAGACCTTTCCAATAAAAATTGTGTTGGATGCGCTTATAAGTCTGTAAGAACCCAGAATGACCACCAATTTGGGAAGCATGGAATTCCAATAGAATTTTGGAACACCAAGGAGAAGAAAAGGGAACACCACTCGGTCTATATAACGTAAAACACCATCATGAAGAGAATACTCGAATCTGTAGACACACCTTGTCGTAATAGAGTAAGAATTGGGGACAAAGAAAGATCAATCAAGCATTCAACAGTGAT